AAATTGTGTTTTTAAATGAAACCCCACTAGTAACCTTACTTAGGGATCATAGATTTATTCTTACGAGGAAGCTCGGAGCATGCTCGGAGGATGCTCAGAGCTTTTTAGCAGGCTCTTCTCACCAGTTTATGTGACAATAATTATCATGATCAATTAAGATGTCAATCAAATCTATAGTACTTCTATAATAAGGAAAGTAGAGCATAGTAGAGGAAGCTCAATTAACACCTATGTAAACATCTGGTCTATTCAAATAAATCTTGAATGAAATTTTACAAAACTATAAAATAGATTAGAAATTCTTCAATAGTACTGTACAATGCTTGGCAAGAAATATCGTCTTCACAGAAAGATAATGTTTTTAAAATTTGTTCCTATTTATAATCATTCTTTTTCAATACAAAAAAAAATCAAATTTTATATTTAAAATATAAATATATCTTAAATTTATACTATATAAAATTATACATAAAAGTCACCAAAGACACAAACTATGGTAAGAGGTGTATAATGATTTGTTAAAATTTATTTGAAAGAAAATGATGGCTACTTTGGGAAATAGTTGTAATTCATAGGCTGGGTTGAAAGATTGTTCACAATATAATTATTATGATAACTTGATTTTAGTTCAGCAATCCTCTATATCTTTTTCTTGAATAAAGTTTTTGATTTTTTTATGATAACTAAATGGATTCAGTGCACCAAAAACTTTACAACAAAAAATTATACTGTATTCTAGAATCCCTTTTGTTTTTCATTTTAAATTCTAGTTCTTCATTACATTGATTTGTATAAAAAATGTTCATTTTTTTTCAAATATCACTTTTAAGCTTAATCAAAATGCAGAAAGTCATAATTACATTTGATATCCCTGAATGATAATTGCAAGATTTCCATTTCATATAACCTCCTTTCTCTATTTATAAATGTGAACAGAAGAGCAAATCATCATTAAATTGAGAAGTCATTTAAATTTATACAATCTATTCTGCTGTCTGCTTAAAATTTAGAAATTGATTCGTTTCCCTAATGCTTTAAGTCAATTGAATACCAGTTTAAAACATACTGTTATTTTATACTATCTATTATAACTGCAGTCAAAAATTCTTTAAATAATTTATTTTAAGTTAGGAAAATGGCAGTTTAGAAGTTGTCTTTGAGGCCTAGAGAACAGGCAATTTTCTTGAACAATTTGCAGACTTGACTTATATATTCTAGGTCCCTCACTTACAAATATTTAAAGATGTATAGTAATTATTGTTCAATTGGTTTGCTTTTGATTCAGCATACGACTGTCATGACTGTAGGAACATGACAATAGGTAGTCACGACTATACCACTTTAAAGTAGGGGTTACATTATTGTTTATCTACCATATATAAAATATTCTAATATCATCAGTTTCTATCTTATTTTTTGATAACTGTATTTAAAATTGGAATCAATTATTATTGTTGAAGATGTTTTTTATTTAACAGCAAACTGCATTTTAATATTAACAAAATATTTAATATGGAGCATAAAAGAGGATGCTCTAAGATAAACTGTAAAATGGGTTATTCCCTCAAACTATAATGTTTATATAATATATCATGCTGTGATGTAAACCTTTGATAATAATGTTTTGCATCTACACAGATTTCTAAACAGTATTATTGGACAGACTGCAGAGAGACTTGTATCAATATTTACTTTTAAATTGTGTGATCATATTTTACTTGTGTAAATTGATTATTAAACAACATAAGACAAGCAAAAAATAATTAATTAAACTCCAAACAACTGCCACAATTTCCTATACTAATGAATATAATTATGCCTAAAATTCTTACTAACTTTGATTTATGTTGTTTTTTTTTATAATTATACTCATGAATCTAAAAAGAAGAAAAAAATAGTTTGAATCTTATAGAAAAAATTTCAGTATATATATATATTTATATTTTTAGGATTTGTTTTATATTGATAGTATGTACTGATAAAGACCTTGAACTAAAATCCATTCATTTTACTCCGTTATATTGTCAAAACTCTTTCAAGGTGTACAACTACTAAAATATAGTACATTCAGTTTCAAGCCAAAAATGGTTGATTTTTTTTTATATATCCCATTTAATTTGACAGTTGTTGGAAAATAACCCTGCATTTCATTGCAGAAAGTTTTTTTTTGGTCGTTAACATGTACCTTGGGTGTTTCAAAACAATAAAACTTTCTAGTTGGTGTTGCTATAAAATATTTTTGAAATTTAAGGGAACACTGCTACTAAAGCTGGTAAACAGGAAAAAAAGGGGAAGAGGAATTTGACTGGATAAAACTTCACTCATGTAGAGTATTTCTTTATTTAAAACATAGATAAAATCAGCACATTTAAAAAAAAAAGGCAAATTAAACAAAGACTTATGGGGAAAAACAAGTTTATGTTAAATTTTCACTATAGTAATGGGCAGGATAAAACTTTACTAATGCCAAATATTTCTTTATTTAAAACAAAGATAAATTCTACATAATTAAAAAAAAAAGTCAATTAAACAGATTGTTTAGTTAGGGGCATTACTCAAACAATTAATTTTCAAAATTACCTATACAATTTATGTTGAAAACGATGCTATATCATATATTACTCCTATTTCATGTATAAAAAAAAAACTTATTTTAAATTCTTTTTTATATGTGTCCGTTCATACAGGTTTTAATAGCTTTAACAAATTTTCACAGACGTCTGGTTATTTTTCCCATGAAATATAAAACTAATCCTCCTGAAACACTAATTGCCTTTCTGAGCCACGCTTCTGGGTCGAAGATTGTCCTCTTGGGACTATCAAAATATCATTTTCCTTTAAAATCTTAATGGTAGACAAATATAAATAGATGGAACCTTGTGATTTAATTAAGACTTGAAGTTATTTATAATGTGAAATCTGAAACAATAACATATGTTCCATAAATAATTATAAGTACTAATTTCAAAGATGTATAAAATAATTCATAAAAGTATTTTAGATATTTTAGAGTAACCTTTTTCTCACATTTGATAAATACTTATTTTTATTTAATGAAATTATATAGAAATTCTTAAAAACTACATTTAGTTCATGCTTCTATTGACATTTAAAATAACTATTGAGTTATTAAATAATTTTTAAAAACAAAAAAAATATAAGTAACTAAAAACAATAACTTGTTTAGTATCGCCCCCTGACTGTTGTTTGTGTCTTGATGACATTTATGTAGCATATTATATAGTATAATATCTAAATTATATAATCTAATTATAAAATATAAGAATTTTTTTATTATTAAAAAAGAATGGTTATTCAATATAATAAGAAAATATTTTAATGACTTACTTTTTGTGGAAACTTGACATTTTTTTCCAAGCATTTCTCAGTACTGATGAAGAATTTCTAATCTATTTTATAGTTTTGTAAAATTTCATGCAAAATGTATTTGAATAGACCAGATGTTTACACAGGTGTTAATGGAGCTTCCTCTATAATGCTCTACTTTCCTTATTATAGAAGTTCTATAGATTTGATAGACATCTTAATGGATCATGATAATTATTGTCACATAAACTGCTGAGAAGAGCCTACTTATAAAGCTCCGAGCATCCTCCAAGCATGCTCTGAGCTTCCTCGTAAGAATAAATCTATGATCCCTTAGATGATCTTCATTCAAACTTTGACAAGTTAGTAGATTTTACAAATGTCAAATGCCGTTTTGCGTATTCCCGTTAATTCCATGTGCTAATATGGATCAGCAGGTCAAGGTTGGCCGTATCGTGCATTCTTATTATGAAAAAATACATCATGATCCTTGTATGCAGTTGTCAATATGGACCGGTATAAGACGGACGATATTTTGAGTCAGGAGTTGGATTTGGTAGAAGTGACTGAAGATAACGCAATATTTATAATCCAAAGTACTTACATGTATCAGTTTAATGAAGGTAATCATAAATGTATTTCACATGTTACGATTTTATCAAAAAAAGACCCCCTTCTTTTCAACATTAAACAAATATTCATATTCGAACAAACTGAGGGATAGGTGTGTCTGGATTAGAAACCCGACGACCGGACACGCTTAACATACGAAAATACAGATTGCATATGTAGGAACCCCCTTCCCCTTTTCTGGACAATCCAAAAAAGGGGGGAGGGGGGAGTTTCTGGGGTTGAAACCCCCCTTTTTTTACCATTAATGCTTTTGAATGGGGACATATGGCTGAACTCCCCCTTTTATCCTGGGTTGTGGCACCCCCTTTAAAAATGGCTGGATCCGCCCCTGGTGCCATCATTAGTCTTCAACAATCCAAACATTAATATTTATCTTATGATTAAGACTTAGTCCAAATATGTTTATAATGTATAATTCAAATAAAAGTTCTTTACATGTATAGTCTTTAAGACATTGCCTTATGGGATTAAAATTGTAGCTTCAAGCAAAGGCATATTTAAATGTTTTTTTTTAATTCAAAATAGATGCTAAATATTTTTTTTGCTATTGGAATTTCCTGAAAATAAGTTTTTTTAATATGTTTTGAAACAACTTGTAGTGAACACGATTAGTAATTTCTTTAATGTTCATGCAATTAAAAAAAACCAATTTCTATTGTTATGAATAACAATGGACTGTGCATTCGGGATGTAGAAGCAGGGGTTTCCAGAAACCCCTCTCGTCACACCCTGTTGTCACAATCCATTGTTATTCATAACAATAGATCTATTCAATTGTCACTTGTTTCAGAAATAGAAACTATGAAGTATAACAATAGAACTGGGGTGTAACTACAGGAAAACCAAAAAATTCATTTGATCACAACATAAGATAAAAAGTACAACCTACATGCTATTTTAACTGAGAACAAAACTAATATAACTAAAACTATGAATTATTAAATGCAAGGAACAGTAAATGGTCTATGTCACAGATTTTGGTAAAATTTTGCATACAACTTTGGCTTGTTGAACTATGTCTGAAAAAATTAAAAGAATAATACATTTATCTCTTTTATTTATTGAAACACTACTGATTGATTTCTTTCAAAATAAGTAAAAATTTGTATAGCAAGCACATAAAATCAGAAAAACATGCTCTTAAATTTGTCTGAAAATTATCAAATCTCCAATTTCAAATCCAAAGATTTTCTAAAAATATAATTTGTTGTTAAAACATAAATTTCCCTTTTAATGACATAAAATAATCATATGGTTACCAACTTTTTTGTGTACTGACCAAACTGATACCTAGTTGGTAGTAAAAGAACATCAAAATCAACGTTTTACAACCTAAAACCTGACATATTATGCTTTTTTCTATGTTTTGTGTTATTTTTTCTACTAGGATACCACCTTGAATGTAGTATACCCTAAAAACGAGGTCAATATCTGAACAATGAAACTGCATTTAAACAGCTTGTTGGCTTTAGCTTACTTGATCTAGTAAGTTTCATTATTATAATGTTAAATCTAAGCTTCTTCTGAGTTGGAAAGTATAAACAAAAACATTTCAATCACATAAAAGGCTTCATAAAAAATAATACTGAACATAAAAGTATCAGAAATACTGTCCAGTTATATATTGTGCACAAATGTGTTTTTTTATACACAAATTATGGAATTGTAATTTCAAAATAAAAATGTCAGGTGCAACATAAAACTTAAATCTTCAATGCTCTAGCTTTGCTGATAATTGCAACAGTCATGACAGTGACTTAATGCACATAACACCCCTAACATGCAAAACTATTTGTTCATATTGCACGTTTGACTATGCTCATGTGATGCTGGGTGAAAAATCTTGTTGATAATATATATGACACTATTTAAACGACAATAGTATATATGTTTAACATCTACTTTAAAGTACTGGCAGTACTTTAGCTATATGGAACATATCTGCTATATCTGTAGGAGTCTGTCTTCCATAGACGCTAGTTCTATATAACATTTGATGCATCAATAACATTATCTGTGGATTCACATGATGGAATGTCACTGAGAACTGGCTGCAGCAACCTCCTCCCTGTAAAAATAAAGTAGAATTTGAGATTTAAAAAAACACAATGAAATCAGACAGGAAACCAATCTGTTTTGGGTACAATGTATATTATCAAAAACAATAAACATGATAAAAGCATCAAGAGGTCAAAATATGGTCTTCAATAACAAACAACCATATCTAAAATCTGTTAATCTCAAAATTGCCACAAGAGAAAACAAATTCTAAACTAGAAGTTCTAAGAACTAAGAGTAAACTGATTTTTATATCTATCAATAGATATAAGGCCACCCTTAACAAATTCTTTGTTTGATGTTGCCTACCCTTGTCTTGTAGGGTTGAGAAGGTAGGTCTAGATTTTTTCTTTTGTTGACCAACAACACGAGTTACATGTTTTAGACAAGAAAACAACATTAGAGCATAAAAACTTTTTTAAAAAAATTGAAACGATCTGTGTCATAAAATTTTTCGGGTAGGCTGCTTTTTAGGTGGGTAGGTAGGCAACATCAAATAATTTTAATTTTATTTTGGCCTTATGTAACAAAACATGTTTTCTTTAAACACCTTAACAAATATTTTTAATGATCTTATTTAAGGAAAAAATAAAAAAAAATAAATAAATATTTTTACATCATGTACATTGGAACTTACATCACTTAACCCATTCCAACTATATTTTTTTAGGTATCGGGGAACGGTTCCATAAAAATGTTGCCAAACTTTATCAGTATGGAATGTCTCACGTCCATATTTGTCGTATGATACCAGTGGAGGTACACCAGCCATCTGTAGACATTTACCAATGTCTAAATCCTCATCCTTTCCATCTGGTGGGCAGCCGTTTTCTTTGAATGCTCCTTCGATAACTTTCTTCACACCAGATCGACTAATCACATACCCAGCCCCACCACTCATGTAACCTTGTTTCAAATGCATATTAAAATGGTAACCAAGGTAACCTGGTAAATCAGGATTATGGAATGATAATAAAAATCTTAAATTCTCCATAATAACGTATGTATCATCATCTGCCTTTAATATCCAGTCATAATCATTTAAATAATGAAGATACACGTAGCGTAACATAAATCGAACTTTTCGAGTCAAATGACTTTTTGATTCCTTCACATTACAGGAATTTAATATGTCTGATTGTTTTTTGTCTGTACACATAACGTAAAGAATTTTATTACATCGCGTTCCCCATGTAGCATTGACAACAGGAATCTGTTTGTTTAAATGGCCACTTGTTGTTATTACAAGACAAAGTATTCTTACTTTCTTAAACATTTCATCTGCTGCTGTTGTATTTTCATAAACTGAAATAGAATGTAAAAAATTATAAGTTAACTAAAGAATACATGCATGTCCTTATGCAAAGTCTGCAAAGTTAAAATTGAGAATGGAAACCGGGAATGCATCAAAGAGACAACAACCCAACCAAAGTGCAGAAAACAGCCCAAGGCCACCAATGGGTCTTCAACACAGCGATAAAAATCCCGCTAGGAGGTGGGCTTCTGCTGGCCCCTAAATAATAACATGTACTCGTTCAGCAAACATGGACGTCACACTAAACTCCGAAACATATAAATGAACCAAAATTAAAAAAACATATAAGATTAACAATAACCAGAGGTTCCTGACTTGGGACAAGCGCAAAAATGTGGTGAGTTAAACATGTTTTGTGAGATCTCAACCCTCTCCCTATACCTCTAGCCAATGTGGAAAAAAATAACACACAGCAATACGCACACAGTTAAATTCAGTTTAAAAGAAATCCGAGTCCAATGTTAGAATAGGTTACAAAAGAAACTAAGCAAAAGAACAATCATCAACATTAATTAACAAAGGACTACTAGTAGTTACTGATATGCCAGCTCTAGACCTTAATTAAAATTATCTAAAGATATGTCTTCATCATATGAAAATCAAGCACAATCCCACACTTTAGGGGTTTAGTATCATACCATCATAAAATATATGATTTAATAACTTAACCGGTATCATACCAGCCACTGATTTTAGAATAAATGTGTTTATTTCTGATGCAAAGACCCTATCAGTGAATCAATATTAATTCCAAAAATTCCTTCAGGTTAGTAGTTTCAAAACTACTTTCTCATGAAACTGATATATATCAATACTGACATTGACTAAGAACAAATTTTAAACAGTCAATAACATCTAAAATTCCCAGCACCTAAAGGCTGTGATGTGGAACAAAATTGGAAAAAAAAAAATCAAATAGAAATGTACTTGCTCTATTGTGATTGCCTTCCTTTGTTTTTTAGTCAAATTGAAAATCTATAATTATTAATCGAATTATCTTGACATTTTCTTCACATTTTCAGATATAATCCTGGTGCATATAAACACAGATATTTGACATGTTTGAAGCAATTAAAAATTATCAATTTTTCTAGAAACATCTCACCTAAGTCTTACTGTTTTTACTTCTTTGAGGCATGACAAAAAACATTACATACATATATATACACAAACTGTAAAATACATTAATTATTTTTACAGTTGTTATTACAACTCACTTGTTTTATCTTTTTTAAATTCTTGTGCAATTCTGTTGACATCAATTTTTGTATGGAATGAAGCAAACCAATCCACTAAATCTGAAAACATAAAAAAAGATTAAATTCCTTCATTAACATATTGGTGTAAAACATATAGATTAAATTCCTTCATTAACATATTGGTGTAAAACATATAGATGAAATTCCTTCGTTAACATATTTGTGTAAAACATATAGATGAAATTCCTTCATTAACATATTGGTGTAAAACATATAGATGAAATTCCTTCATTAACATATTGGTGTAAAACATATAGATGAAATTCCTTCATTAACATATTGGTGTAAAACATATAGATTAAATTCCTTCATTAACATATTGGTGTAAAACATATAGATTAAATTCCTTCATTAACATATTGGTGTAAAACATATAGATTAAATTCCTTCATTAACATATTGGTGTAAAACATATAGATGAAATTCCTTCATTAACATATTGGTGTAAAACATATAGATTAAATTCCTTCATTAAACATATTGGTGTAAAACATAAATAGATTAATTTCCTTCATTAACATATTGGTGTAAAACATATAGATTAAATTCCTTAATTAACTTATTGGTGTAAAACATATAGATTAAATTCCTTCATTAACATATTGGTGTAAAACATATAGATTAAATTCCTTCATTAACTTATTGGTATAAAAAACATATAGATTAAATTCCTTCATTAACATATTGGTGTAAAACATATAGATTAAATTCCGTCATTAACATATTGGTGTAAAACATATAGATTAAATTCCTTCATTAACTTATTGGTGTAAAACATATAGATTAAATTCCTTCATTAACATATTGGTGTAAAACATATAGATTAAATTCCTTCATTAACTTATTGGTATAAAAAACACATAGATTAAATTCCTTCATTAACATATTGGTGTTAAACATAAAGATTAAATTCCGTCATTAACATATTGGTGTAAAACATATAGATTAAATTCCGTCATTAACATATTGGTGTAAAACATATACATTAAATTTCGTCATTGACTCATTTTTAAAGAACAATTGGTGCCAGAATCTGGAAATAGGAAATATTCAATATTTTGTAAAAGGAAAACATTGTATATATTGTAGGTAAAAAAATGTCAAAATCTTGAAATCCTGTTATAAAATCCTGAAAACTTTCATGTGGGTAAACAAGGTAGAAGATGGGTGTGATTTCACAAAAACAAATGTGCTTGATCCCTAAATAAATTTCTTGCTTATGTGAAGCAATAGCCCCCATTCCTACTTATATGTCATAATATTTTTATATGATACATGAGGGTCTGGATGGGGCATTCTTTATTCTTTTATTCTTTAATTTTCTAAACCATTTTTTTCTATACTTTTATATTTTAGGGAGCTACCATTTGATTTTTAGGGGGGGGCTAGGATGAAAATTGAAATAAAGGCAGGACAGGAGTTTTGAGTAAAAAAAAAAGGCAGGATGAGCAACTTGGCCCAAAAAAAAGGCAGGATGACAATTTATGTAAAAAAAGTCAGGATAATTAATAAAAAAAAAAAGGCAGGACCGAATAAAGTGAAAAATAAAAAGGCAGGACTGATATTACAACTAACAAAAAAGGAAGGACAAGATTTTTCATTCTAGCCCCCCCCATAAAAATCAATTGGTAGCTCCCTTAATATTTTACCACGAGCGACAGCGAGGGGTAAAATATCGGCATAAAGGGCAAACCCATGGTAAAATCAGTATAAATTCAAGCCCCCATGAATTATTTCTATTCTTATCGGACAAATACAAAAATTCTTTTGGATCGAAGCGCTCTAGGTGAAGGCAAACATTTGCTGTTCCCGTAAATAAATGCACAAGTACATTGACGTAAAAGAACGGATCAAACTGAATTAGTGACATGCTTAAACTATTAACAATAATGTATTTAGAAAGGTTTTGATGAATTTAATAATAATTTTACTTATATGTAAAAAAAACAGCTTATAATTCATGTTAGTATCGTTTGTTTACGTTTCCTTGTTGGGATGATTTTCTGTTTTACAATCGTGTATTTTCCCGTAAAATGCTTATATTCTTACGGCATCGTTCAGTGACTTTGGGTAGATCATTTATAAAAATTGCATATGATGCAGGAATATGATCAGAACAGCCCAAATTATATATTCATATTTTACCACGATGTGTACTCAAAGCGTTTGAAGAACGTCATATTAGAATTTCTATTCTTTATATTTTTTAGCCCTTAATTCTGCACTTTTTGCCAATCACATGTGTATTCTCTATTCTATTAACCCCTTCCAGATCCTCATACATGTAGGTATGGTCGCCATTAAACAAAACACCCCATCCAGACCCTCATACATGTAGATATGGACACCATTAAACAAAACACCCCATCCAGATCCTCATCCATGTAGGTATGATCACCATTAAACAAAACACCCCATCCAGACCCTCATACATGTAGGTAGGGTCGCCATTAAACAAAACACCCCATCCAGATCCTCATACATGTAGGTAGGGTCGCCATTAAACAAAACACCCCATTCAGACCCTCATACATGTAGGTAGGGTCGCCATTAAACAAAACACCCCATCCAGACCCTCATACATGTAGATATGGACACCATTAAACAAAACACCCCATCCAGATCCTCATTCATGTAGGTATGGTCTCCATTAAACAAAACACCCCATCCAGATCCTCATACATGTAGGTATGATCACCATTAGACAAAACACCCCATCCAGATCCTCATACATGTAGGTATGGTCACCATTAAACAAAACACCCCATCTAGATCCTCATACATGTAGGTATGGTCACCATTAAACAAAACACCCCATCCAGATCCTCATACATGTAGGTATGGTCACCATTAAACAAAACACCCCATCCAGATCCTCATACATGTAGGTAGGGTCACCATTAAACAAAGCACCCCATCCAGATCCTTATACATGTAGGTAGGGTCGCCATTAAACAAAACACCTCATCCAGATCCTCATACATGTAGGTAGGGTCACCATTAAACAAAACACTCTATCCAGATCCTCATACATGTAGGTATGGTCGCCATTAAACAAAGCACCCCATCCAGATCCTCATACATGTAGGTAGGGTTGCCATTAAACAAAACACCCCATCCAGATCCTCATACATGTAGATATGGACACCATTAAACAAAACACCGCATCCAGATCCTCATACATGTAGGTATGGTCACCATTAAACAAAACACCCCGTCCAGATCCTCATACATGTAGGTATGATCACCATAAAACAAAACACCCCATCCAGACCCTCATGCATGTAGGTAGGGTCGCCATTAAACAAAACACCCCATCCAGACCCTCATACATGTAGATATGGACACCATTAAACAAAACACCCCATCCAGATCCTCATACATGTAGGTATGGTCGCCATTAAACAAAACACCCCATCCAGATCCTCATACATGTAGGTATGATCGCCATTAGACAAAACACCCCATCCAGATCCTCATACATGTAGGTATGGTCGCCATTAAACAAAACACCCCATCTAGATCCTCATACATGTAGGTATGGTCACCATTAAACAAAACACCCCATCCAGATCCTCATACATGTAGGTATGGTCACCATTAAACAAAACACCCCATCCAGATCCTCATACATGTAGGTATGGTCACCATTAAACAAAGCACCCCATCCAGATCCTCATACATGTAGGTAGGGTCGCCATTAAACAAAACACCCCATCCAGATCCTCATACATGTAGGCATGGTCACCATTAAACAAAACACCCCATCCAGATCCTCATACATGTAGGTATGGTCACCATTAAACAAAACAATGATTTGTAAGATTCATGCATCATTTCTATATATGGTTTAGAGTCGAGAACAAATAAAACTATTGTTTTGACACAATATGTGGCTGTTTTCTTTCTCACTGCAACTGGTTGAACTATTCAAAAACAGAAAAAAATATCATCTGTCGTACATCAGCCTTAATATCATAATGAGATTGTTTCTAATTATATATAAATGTTGTTTTTTTTTAATTTAGGCAATTTGGTGCTGTTGGCAGATGTTGATAGTCTACAGTCAGTGACTGTATAATACAAAAGTTTATGAGATCAATGCAATTTAAACATATTTCTTACCTTCACTTAGAGTGACACAGAACATTGAGGTGAATGATATGACACAAGCTGCACACAGGTACCTCAGGTATAACTTCCAAAATGGTCGATGATATTTCAGACATAACCTGCCTCTGTACCTGTACATATAAAAAATATTAGAGTGACACAGAACATTGATATGAATGATATGACACTTGTAAGCTGCACACAGGTATCTCAGGTATAACTTCCAAAATGGTCGCTGATATTTCAGACATAACCTGCCTCTGTACCTGAAGTTTGTAGTTAAGATCTTCAATGATAAAAGTTAACCTGACTTCACATTTTTTTGAAATAGGAAATTTTAAGCAATTTAAATGATCATTATGATCATAGCTTTTTTTAATACAATTTCATTGTACAAGACTACCATATAACTTGTAAACAGGATAAACTAAAATTATACATTTAAAATCTTAATGTTTCTTTTTTTCGTAATTTTAAAAGGCAATTTGGTGCTGTTTTATGACAGATGTTTAATAGTTGCTGTTTCAGTTTGGGATAATTTTCTACACTCTCTATATACATGATATATATGTCATGTACCTGTATATACATGTATCTTTAATTTAGCATGTATTAAAATAAATCAGATATATAACATAAGCAAATGAGACAAACCTTGTGTGTTTGTCAATATCATAAAGCAAATAACGTAATTATGAACATGTAACTTATCAAAAAGTTATTTGTACACCTGAATCAATACACATACACAATACATGTAGACAATTGACTCTTTGAGCCTTATGAAATCTTTTAAAACCACTAAACTGATTCAAAAAGTCAAAGTCGACTGTGTTATAGAAATAATGGATAGGTCACCTGGACAAGTCCAGTCAAGCAGTTATACATTCAGCAATGTCTTTGCACTTTCCAAACCAACAAATTACTTTACATGTTTACTTGTCTTGAGAATATGCAGAAAAGGAAAGCACAAAAACAAGTATCAAAAACACAGAGTGGACATGACAGGGTACTTATACATCCCCACAACACAAAGACACTAAGTTCAGATCTGAGAGTACTTGCAGTTACTGACAGCTATTGTAAAGCCATTTTAAAACAACTAATAAAAAAAAATGCATCTAAGACTAAAATATCAATCAGTACGTACACATCCTACATTCAATGGATTTAGTGTAAAGACGTCATTAATAGTCAGAGAAAAAACATTATATTGTACATGTGCAATGCCAAGATACAGATATCAACAGATAGTAGAGCCATGAATGTGCATATGTATATAAAAATAATATTTAGATATAAGAAGATTTGGTATGAGTGCCAATGAGACAACTCTCCATCCAAGTCAAAATTTATAAAAGTAAACCATTATAGGTCATTTAGTTTGATTTTAATTTATTGATAACAAAGACAATATTAATACCAATAAAAACAATATTTAAAGATCTAATAATAGTGTTGAATTGGTACCCTTTTAGAATACTTTTTTAAGTTTATTTAAAGGATCAATAATTATATAAGTTGATTGTATCTAAATTTTCTGGTTCTGTAAACAACATCTCCGTGAAAATTAGGATGCGCTATCCCATTTAAAATAAGTTTTCTGCCATGTGTCTACATGTACATGTATAACCAAACTTCCAAACCAAATCTTTTATATCTATGGAAGAATTTAGTAATGTTAGTAAAGATTTAAGTAATTTGTGGTAACGAAATCCCTGACTTAATAATTTACCAGTAATACATAGATAACGTTCCTTGAAATCCAAAATGTCACAACAGACACAGAAAGGACAGTTATTACCTTTTATATTTGATTTATTTAAAGTAAGTTTCTTTGGGTAAATTTTGGCAGTATATTTAGAAGATTCTTGATTATCAAAGAAAAAATATCATCAAGATAACATCAAGTGTTGTTGAATTTATCAATTACCGGTAAATGCAATTTAGACAGGTCTTTACTGAAGTTAATCATGAACTGTGATTCATAATAGTATAAGAACAAGTCTTCTATTAAAGGGGCGCAATTGGTGCCCATTGAAATACCTACAAACTGTCGATAAACTTTATTGCCAAAACGTACATAAATATTATCAAGGGGAAAATTAACAGCTTCAATCATCTCTTGCATACATTTTGTAAATGATTTTGTGGTTTTGACAAATTCTGCAATCAAGACTATTGAAAATTTTGGCTTTCATGAACAGTTAAATTTAGGTTAAAATTCACAAATGTTGGTAACCCAACAAATAATTGCTGAATTCACAGCAGGTACAAACATGCATCTAAATTTAATTTCCTTAAGTGATTTTGCATACCTCATTTTGGCTAACATTTGAAAGTACCTATATAATCTTCAAAGTATCATTCTAAATCTTTACATCTTTATGCTGATAACTTGTCACAATCCATTTTCTGAAAAGATAATTCAAAACCTTGAGAATTTTTTTCCAGTACATTACAAATTCGGGTCTGTTTATCCTGATTTATTTTCGTCCTAATATCCCTTAAACCCTGGGTCCAATCGTTCTAAAACCTGTTCCCAGGGTTTTCCCTGGCGGTCGCATTTTGCGAAAAAAAAATAATATTGTGGCGATTAAAATTCATTATTGGCGAAAGAAATATAAGGGTTTGACTCCATCCATCTTATTTACTTTTTTCAGGTTTCTCTGAGAGAATACTGAGAATTCACCTTGAACTCGTTACTATTTTGATAGAAAATCAATAATCAGCCGATTGCATTTTATAGCTATCGACAACAATTGATTAATCAATAAAGGTGTTTATCAGCAATTTGTACATTTTTCCTTTGATTTTACTGCCTGGTATTATTAAAGATCATGGACAGGACTTGATACTCGAAAATATTAGGCAAAGATGTCATGTATCAGTGCAGCAACGCCACATGCTCAAGTCCATCCACGTCAATTTATCAATGAAATGCACAGGACTTCATTCATACAACAGAACAAATATTCCGTGTTTTTCAACAGACTGTCGGAATTCCAATGGGAACCAATTGTGCCCCTCTTCTTGCCGACTTGTTTCTTTATTATTATGAGGCTGACTTCATACAGGAACTTCTTAGGAAGAAAGATAAGAAGTTAGCAATATCCTTTAACTCTACGTTCCGTAATATAGATGATGTTCTCTCACTAAATAATACAAAATTTGGTGACCATTTTGAACGAATCTATCCCATCGAACTACAGATAAAGGATACTACAGATACAGTTAAGTCTGCCTCATATCTTGACTTTCATCTAGAAATTGACAATGAGGGTCGGTTGAAAACAAAACTTTACGACAAAAGAGATGATTTCAGCTTCTCAATTGTGAACTTCCCATTTCTATGTAGCAACATTCCAGCAGCGCCTGCATACGCAGTATATATCTCCCAGTTGATATTCCAGGGCTTGTATTTCCTATCATGATTTCCTTGATAGAGGGTTGCTGCTCACAAGGAAGCTATTAAACCAAGAGTTCCAAATGGTAAAGTTGAAATCATCCCTTCGTAAATTTTACGGACGCCATCACGAGTTGGTTGACCGTTATGGAATAACCGTTTCACAGATGGTATCGGATATGTTCCTTATAAATGTCGTAACTACAATACCCTCCCCTTTTCACGAATGTGACTTACCGAATTAGACTATTTACCGGATTTGTAATAACATAAGCAACACGACGGGTGCCACATGTGGAGCAGGATCTGCTTACCCTTCCGGAGCACCTGAGATCACCCCCAGTTTTTGGTGGGGTTCATGTTGCTTAGTCTTCAGTGTTCTATGTTGTGTCATCTGTACTATTATTTGTCTGTTTGTCTTTTTATTTTTGGCCATGGCGTTGTCAGTTTCTTTTCGATCTATGAGTTTGACTGTCCCTCTGGTATCTTTCTTCCCTCTTTTCCAACGTTTTGTACGCGTAAAATTAGTTTTACTAACTATTTCATTTTACATCATATTCTCAGCCAAAAAAACCTACATTTAAGAAAAATTGCCTATAAAAAGAATAACGGTAATGGCATTTAATTTTTTGACACTGACTTCATCAGCTCGTCCTAGCAGGCTTGCTTGATATTCTTGCTGATAAAGTCAGTATCAAAAACAAAAATGCCATTATTCTATATTGATTGTATTGTTTAATGAAATGGTGTGATTAAAAGGCTTCACATGTCACCTCAAGTATTTCTTTTTTTACAATTTTGATAGAAATAATTGTTTTTGAAGTGAGTACTTCACAATTATTTTAGCAATGCTCGTGTTTGAACTTACAGAAGCATAGTTTTACATCTCAACTTTTTCTTTTAACAATGGCCTGGAAAAAAAAACTATTGTTTAATATGAAGAAATATTCAAAAGTAAGAAAAATCTCTGACTTTAGTCTTTATCCTTCAACTAGTCGGGAAGTATCCAATAAACTTTTTGAAGATTTATCGTATGTTCCCAGAAGTAAAAAAATATGATTTCATGATCTTTATTGCAATTTTACAGTATCTTTTAAAAATTAAATGTTTGTTATAAATTGAGTAAAATTGAAAATGGAAATGGGGAATATGTCAAAGAGACAACAACCTGGCCAAAGAGCAGATTTATTTATTACTATATAGATTAAAAAATAGATATGTAGAATTATAGACAATAATGCAGCAAACTGAATTTGTCTTTGTTAAAAAGACAAATGAAAGAAGGAAAATTTTGAACGAAAAATATGTTTATGTTTAATAGTTGACCAAAAGAAAATCAAAAGTGGGGAAAAATATTTAGTTTTGGCCAAAGAGGTGGCGAAAAACAAACTTGACCCAGCCGAAACCCTGTCTGTTCCCCCTAGGTTTGATCGCCTCGATTTTTATTTCATTTTGTTGCCTTGCTGTGTAGCAGTAAAATATATTATTTGAAAAGATATACAGTCAGGGGACTTATTGAAATAAGTGATTTTTAAATCACTTATTTAAGTAGCAAAATCGAAGTTTTGTCACAAATTGTGATTTTGTAGTTTTACCAAAATTTTAAACACATAGGTTTAGATAATAACTTTTCATTAGTAAAATTGAAAAAAAATGAACTTTTTGCTTCTTTTAAGCAGCATGGTTTATGCCTCTGATGCAATTATTTAGCTGCAAATTCTATTTTAGTTGAAAAAATGCTATAAAAATGGCTTTACATAATGAACTGATACTTTCTTAACAGATTTTTCCCAGCAGTGGGATTATTTTTCCTGTAAAATTCAAGGTTTCATCTTATAGATTATGTAATAAAATTCTACTGTTCGCCATAAAAATTTCACTGTTCGGGGGTGTTGAAATTAGTGGGGGTTATTAAAATAATGATACTTAAAAAAGTGATTTTTTGGAAGGAAATTGAGGTATGATACTTAAACAAGTGATTTTTATGTCATTATCCTAGATTTAGTACAAGGTCATCACCTGACATGACCCGGTCATCCTAACAACACAGATGTTGGTTCTGATAATTTTAGCAACATAATTAGTCCCTGGATCATTAGTATTCTATATTTAAAGCTACAATAAAATTAAATCACTTAGTCTAGTGATTAATTTGTACTACTTAAATAGGTGATTATTAAAGAAAGACAACTGTTACTTCCAACCTTTATGGACATAATGTTACTTAAATCAGTGATTTAGAAAATCACTCATTTAAGTAAGTCCCCTGACTGATATAGAATATAAGGAGACATGGTATGATTGCACAGGGGGGATCCAGAAATTTTTCACGGGGGCGTCACAATACCAAACTTTAAAAATATTTGATTCAAATTTTAATTTCATACCTTGATGGACTCAGAATATAACATTTACCAAATAAATATCTGCACAGGTACAACCATGTATGTAAAAACCCAAATACCATTAACATGATTAATATCAATATATCTTTTTGAATAGGCACGATAGGGCAAACAAACGCTGGTGAACAGACCCATGGCGATTTACTTCAAAATGTATTAGGGTGAACTGACCCAATATGATACATTGATTACTTATTTCATAGTACATGAAGTAGATAATGACTGATAAAATATAGATTTATATGATAAGTAGTCGGATCATGTAAATACATTATACATTGCATCATGTATGAGCATGCTTTAACAAAAATGAAAATTAATGTTTGGCATACTGCAATGAGAATCATTAAACAATTGATTCTCGATTATAATATATCTAAACAAAATAACGATGTGCATCAGAAATGTATTTAACTTCCTAATTATATATGAATCTGAATTCTGGACAGCACAACTATGACAACATAAAATGGGAAACATTACAATTTGTATTAGCATAATTAGTGCAACATTACATAAGTGAAAAACACCAAATAATATCTACTAGTTTTATAAATGAAATAAATAAATTCAGTGATAATATATCAATAAACCCAAACAGCAGGAAACAACATTTCAAATCTAACAGGTTACACATGTTACAGGCCAGGGTGTCATGCTGTCAACGTATATTTGTTCCTCCTAACAGAAGTTCCACTGGAAACTTTGTTATAAATAATGTCATAATATCTGTTCCTGTTGGAACAAATATTCTATACCATTTATTCCGTCAGGAACATTTACTGTAATATTTATTCCAGTGGAAATAATATTCCAGAATATTGTTTCCATTTGGAACTTATATTATGAAGGAACTTCTATTCCGTGACAATGCCCTCCCCAAACCTATCGGAAACACAATATCGCCATAGACTTATAGAGGTATTGGTTATATTGGTCACACGGTGTTTTTGGTAGGGTTCGTGTTGCTCGGTCTTTAGTTTTCCATGTTGTATCATTGTTGTTTGTATTTTGCCAATTTTTGGTCGTATTTTGACATTACTTTGTCAGTGTGTTCGTCTCTCTTTGGTAGAGATATCTTGCCTCAAGCGAGTTTATTTTAGAAAAGCACATAGCTGCTCACCTCAGATTTTAAGCAATTTCTCAAAGTTTATATCATATTAATCTGAAGGTCTGTGTCATCAAAAATATCAGCTCGTAGAGATTGAGATTTTCGAAGGTACAATCCGGAAATAAATAATGGTAAAAAAAATACAAATCTTACCGGAAAGAAAACGATTTGTTTACGGAAATACGTTTTTTTTAGTTACTAAGTTTTACACAATAGAGAATAATAGCAACAAGCAAAAAAGAAATGAACAGATAAAAAATAGCAAAGAAAATAAAGAATATAGAATTATAGGCTACAAAAGTATTATTATACATATCCTTTTAAAGACTAATTGTTGGGAAAAAAATCGATAATATAATTCTGATCATAGTAATCTCAGTTATGAGGTCAGTTATTGCAGAATAAAGAATTTCATAAAAATATGAAGGGTGATTCCTATAATAGAAAAATAATGTTCCTGATAATTTAACAGAATAAAGATAAAGAAAAATTCCCTAAACTTTTAAAGAATACAGAAATTATAAGGACCCCATGTAGACCCAATTTCATGTGTCTGTTTCATTATTTATTTCTTGATATTTTTTCTCTTATTTATTGTCCCTAGTCTAGCAGGACGCGTTCATTGAGGTATGAGGGTGGGAGGTTTATAGAGAATAAAGAATAATGGACCAATAATACAGAAAAATTGCCAAACAAATAAAGGATAGAGAATACTGGGGTGTTAAAATATAAAGGACATAGAATACTGGGGTGTTAAAATATAAAGGACATAGAATACTGGGGTGTTAAAATATAAAGGACATAGAAAACTGGGGTGTTAAAATATAAAGGATAGAGAATACTGGGGTGTTAAAATATAAAGGACATAGAATACTGGGGTGTTAAAATATAAAGGACATAGAATACTGGGATGTTAAAATATAAAGAATTGAGAATACTGGGGTGTTAAAATATAAAGAATAGAGAATACTGGGGTGTTAAAATATAAAGAATAGAGAATACTGGGGTGTTAAAATATAAAGAATAGAGAATAATGTGGTGCTAAAGTATAAAGGACATAGAATACTGCGGTGTTAAAATATAAGGGACATAGAATACTGGGGTGTTAAAATATAAAGGACATAGAATACTGGGGTGTTAAAATATAAAGGACATAGAATACTAGGGTGTTAGAATATAAAGGACATAGAATACTGGGGTGTTAAAATATAAAGAATAGAGAATACTGAGGTGTTAAAATATAAAGAATAGAGAATACTGGGTTGTTAAAATATAAAGGACATAGAATAATGGGGTGTTAAAATATAAAGGACATAGAATACTGGGGTGTTAAAATATAAAGAATAGAGAATACTGGGGTGTTAAAATATAAAGAATAGAGAATACTGGGGTGTTAAAATATAAAGGACATAGAATACTGGGGTGTTAAAATATAAAGGACATAGAATACTGAGGTGTTAAAATATAAAGAATAGAGAATACTGGGGTGTTAAAATATAAAGAATAGAGAATACTGGGGTGTTAGAATATACAGGACATCGAATACTGGGGTGTTAAAATATAAAGAATAGAGAATACTGGGGTGTTAAAATCTAAAGGACATAGAATACTGGGATGTTAAAATATAAAGAATAGAGAATACTGGGGTGTTAAAATATAAAGGACATAGAATACTGGGGTGTTAAAATATAAAGGACATAGAATACTGGGGTGTTAAAATATAAAGAATAGAGAATACTGGGGTGTTAAAACATAAAGAATAGAGAATACTGGGGTGTTATAATATAAAGGACATAGAATACTGGGGTGTTAAAATATAAAGGACATAGAATACTGGGGTGTTAAAATATAAAGAATAGAGAATACTGGGGTGTTAAAATATAAAGGATAGAGAATACTGGGGTGTTAAAATATAAAGAATAGAGAATACTGGGGTGTTTAAATATAAAAGACATAGAATACTGGGGTGTTAAAATATAAAGGACATAGAATACTTGGGTGTTAAAATATAAAGAATAGAGAATACTGGGGTGTTAAAATATAAAGAATAGAGACTACTGGGGTTTTAAAATATAAAGGACATAGAATACTGGGGTGTTAAAATATAAAGGACATAGAATACTAGGGTGTTAAAATATAAAGGACATAGAATACTGCGGTGTTAAAATATAAAGGACATAGAATACTGGGGTGTTAAAATATAAATGATATAGATTACTGATGTGTTAAAATATAAAGGACATAGAATACTGAGGTGTTAAAATATAAAGGATATAGAATACTTGGGTGTTAAAATATAAAGGACATAGAGTACTGAGGTGTTAAAATATAAAGGACATAGAATACTGGGGTGTTAAAATATAAAGGACATAGAATACTGAGGTGTTAAAATATAAAGGACATAGAATACTGGGGTGTTAAAATATAAAGGACATAGAATACTGGGGTGTTAAAATATAAAGGACATAGAATACTGGGGTGTTATAATATAAAGAATAGAGAATACTGAGTTGTCAAAATATAAAGAATAGAGAATACTGGGGTGTTAAAATATAAAGGACATAGAATACTGGGGTGTTAAAATATAAAGGACATAGAATACTGGGGTGTTAAATTATAAAGAATAGAGAATACTGGGTATGTTTAAATATAAAGAATAGAGAATACTGGGGTGTTAAAATATAAAGGACATAGAATACTGGGGTGTTAAAATATAAAGGACATAGAATACTCGGGTGTTAAAATATAAAGAATAGAGAATACTGGGGTGTTCAAATATAAAGAATAGAGAATACTGGGGTGTTAGAATATAAAGGACATAGAATACTGGGGTGTTAAAATATAAAGAATAGAGAATACTAGGGTGTTAAAATATAAAGGACATAGAATACTGGGGTGTTAGAATATAAAGGACATAGAATACTGGGGTGTTAAAATATAAAGAATAGAGAATACTGGGATGTTAAAATATAAAGGACATAGAATACTTGGGTGTTAGAATATAAAGGATAGAGAATACTGGGGTGTTAAAATATAAAGGACATAGAATACTAGGGTGTTAAAATATTAAGGACATAGAATACTGGGGTGTTACAATATAAAGGACATAAAATACTAGGGTGTTAAAATATAAAGGACATAGAATACTGGGGTCTTAAAATATAAAGGACATAGAATACTGGGGTCTTAAAATATAAAGGACATAGAATACTGGGGTGTTAGAATATAAAGGATAGAGAATACTGGGGTGTTAAAATATAAAGGACATAGAATACTTGGGTGTTAGAATATAAAGAATAGAGAATACTGGGGTGTTAAAATATAAAGGACATAGAATACTGGGGTGTTAGAATATAAAGAATAGAGAATACTTAGGTGTTAAAATATAAAGGACATAGAATACTGGGGTGTTAAAATATAAAGGACATAGAATACTAGGGTGTTAAAATATAAAGAATAGAGAATACTGGGGTGTTAAAATATAAAGAATAGAGAATACTGGGGTGTTAGAATATAAAGGACATAGAATACTGGGGTGTTAAAATATAAAGAATAGAGAATACTGGGGTGTTAAAATATAAAGGACATAGAATACTGGGGTGTTAAAATATAAAGAATAGAGAATACTGGGGTGTTAAAATATAAAGGACATAGAATACTGGGGTGTTAAAATATAAAGGACATAGAATACTGGGGTCTTAAAATATAAAGAATAGAGAATACTGGGGTGTTAAAATATAAAGAACAGAGAATACTGGGGTGTTATAATATAAAGGACATAGAATACTGGGGTGTTAAAATATAAAGGACATAGAATACTGGGGTGTTAAAATATAAAGAATAGAGAATACTGGGGTGTTAAAATATAAAGAATAGAGAATACTGGGGTGTTAAATTATAAAAGACATAGAATACTGGGGTGTTAAAATATAAAGGACATAGAATACTGGGGTGTTAAAATATAAAGAATAGAGAATACTGGGGTGTTAAAATATAAAGAATAGAGAATACTGGGGTGTTAAAATATAAAGGACATAGAATACTAGGGTGTTCAAATATAAAGGACATAGAATTCTGGGGTGTTAAAATATAAAGGACATAGAATACTGGGGTGTTCAAATATAAAGGACATAGAATACTAGGGTGTTAGAATATAAAGGATAGAGAATACTGGGGTGTTAAAATATAAAGGACATAGAATACTAGGGTGTTAAAATATAAAGGACATAGAATACTGGGGTGTTCAAATATAAAGGACATAGAATACTAGGGTGTTAGAATATAAAGGATAGAGAATACTGGGGTGTTAAAATATAAAGGACATAGAATACTAGGGTGTTAAAATATAAAGGACATAGAATACTGCGGTGTTAAAATATAAAGGACATAGAATACTGGGGTGTTAAAATATAAAGGACATAGAATACTGAGGTGTTAAAATATAAAGGACATAGAATACTGAGGTGTTAAAGTATAAAGGACATAGAATACTTGGGTGTTAAAATATAAAGGACATAGAATACTGAGGTGTTAAAATATAAAGGACATAGAATACTGGGGTGTTAAAATATAAAGGACATAGAATACTGAGGTGTTAAAATATAAAGGACATAGAATACTGGGGTGTTAAAATATAAAGGACATAGAATACTGGGGTGTTAAAATATAAAGGACATAGAATACTGGGGTGTTATAATATAAAGAATAGAGAATACTGAGGTGTTAAAATATAAAGAATAGAGAATACTGGGGTGTTAAAATATAAAGGACATAGAATACTGGGGTGTTAAAATATAAAGGACATAGAATACTGGGGTGTTAAAATATAAAGAATAGAGAATACTGGGTATGTTAAAATATAAAGAATAGAGAATACTGGGGTGTTAAAATGTAAAGGACATAGAATACTGGGGTGTTAAAATATAAAGGACATAGAACAGGGATGGGGTAATCGTAATCTGTAATCGTAATCGATTGTAATTGATTACTTTTTTTCCAGTAATCGACTGTAAACTGTAATCGAAGACGTTTTCGATTACATGTAATCATAATTTAATCGATTACAGCAACAAATATGATGTAATCATCGATTACTTTTCGATTACA